CAGGCTCAGATCACTTGAACGAGTGTGTTTTTACCAGGCAACACAAACCAGACAATGGATGGAAAAACTTCTAGGTCCTTTAAGAATAAGAAAAACCAGACATGGTGTAGTATATAGGTGAATGATAGTTGAGGTGATAAAGTATATAGAACTGCTCACCTGCTTCAGAGCCCGTGACTCGGGCTCTGAGTATAGAAACGTATGGACCACTATGGGGGGTACCAAACCCTATAGATGAAATCAGGAACACAACTTACGTCCAGGTACAGGATATAAAAAGTAAAATTTATTCTAAACAGTAAAAACAAAAATATAAATATAAGTATATATAAAAGAATTCAAGTCCTCCTGGACGTCCGAGACGCGTTTCGCCGGTAGGCTTCCTCAGTCGGTATGTGTTCCTGTGTTTCTGCTCTTCTTTTATAGCTGGATAAGGGCTCTGTAATTATAGATTAGTTGCGGCTGAGTTCCGCTTTCGTCATTTCCGCTTTCGTCATTTCCGCTTACGTCATCACTCGGCGCCGTCGCTTTTTGATGTCCATATATTGTTAGTCTGCTGGCGCCATATTAAGTTAGGGCAACAACGTCTATATACACATGTACATCGTTTCTCAAATCGGGAAACGACTGGAGAAAGCAGACAGAGCATATGAACATATAGTTAATATTAAATAAGAGTGCTTTTTGTTTACATTTAACATCATTAACAGAAAAATAATATTTCATACTCATGCATAATTTTAAAATCTCATCTTATAACTTGGTGTATATAGGTTATAATTATTTTTAAACTGATGTGAATATATTAAATTCAAATACACTTTGGGATCTTTTTAAATCAATGGATTAATATATTGCCTTTCAAATTCAGTTACCTATATTAAATTTATGAACTCTTTTAATGTTCAAAATAAAAAAAAAATAAAAAAATCATCAATTCAATTAAATTTGTCTTATTTTAATTCCCCTATAGTTTGATCATTATTTCATCTATACAAATACGATTAGATGTTTATTAGCACATTAAATCCAACCCAAATAAAGGTCCATATGTCAGAAAATAAAATAAAATAAAAAGTACCCACACGTATATGAAGATGCACATTCTCGCGCATGTACACATACATGTATATATATATATTGTCTCATTCATCTTATAAAAAATGGCATAGCTCGAAATCGCTGTTCAATCCATGAGGTAGTAAAGTGTTTAAAGTGAAAATCCACCTCATTTCAGTACGGCCTATGTGTTGTACCAGGTCCTCACCTCTCCAATTGGGAGTAATTTTTTGTATACCCATAAATTGGATGTTTGTGGGATCTTTATTGTGTGTTTTAGAGAAGTGCAGAGAAAGGCTATGTTTCTCAAATCCATTACGGATATTCCTAACATGTTCTTGAATGCGTATATAGAGAGGGCGTATAGTACGCCCTACATACACAAGACCACAAGGACATACGATTGTATATATTACTTTTTTTAATGACATGTGATTAATTCATTGATCTTAAAAATATGATTTGAGTTCTTAGGGTGTGGGAATGTTGTAATATGTCTTTTTTTGTTATGAGTGTTCTTACAGGCTATACAACTTCCACATCCAAGGAAACCTTTTGCATTATTTAGAAAATGTGAATTTTCCTTTTTTCTTATATGATTACGTACTAGTGTTCTATTGAGGTTTGGAACTCCTCGATAGACTACAGTAGGTTTTTCTGGAAGTATGTAATTTAATGTGTCATCACTTATAAGAATACTTATTTACAATCCTTTTAATTTGTTTATTTTTACAGTTGAAATCCAATATAAGAGTAGGTTCATTCATATTGGTCTTTTCAGCTGTATCTTTGTATGTTAATAAAGAAGATCTATCCCTTTCTCTGACTTCTTCATAAGCCTCTTTTAATAATTGATCTTTATACCCTTTTTCTTTGAAATTTTTTATAATGATGGATGCCTGATTTTCAAATGTACATACATCTGTACAGTTGCGCTTTATCCTAAGTAGTTGTGCCTTGGGAGCATTAAGAAGCCAAGGGGGAAAATGGCAACTGGTTTCTTGTATGTAGCTGTTTACATCTGTTTGTTTAAAAAAGGTGCTAGTCTTTAATTTGTCATTCTCTACATATATGTTAAGATCGAGGAAATTTACCTGGGTTTTACTGAAGTTGGTGGTTAATTTAATCCCCCAATCGTTAGACTCAAGGTGGGTTAAAAAAGTTCAAAGAGACTGTTCATCACCCCTCCAGATGAAGAACAGATCATCGATGTATCTGCGATAGGTCACGAGGTTCGCCCCCCATCTGTCATCATTATAAATGAATTGTTGTTCCCAATGAGACATAAAAAGGTTGGCATAACTTGGGGCGAACCTCGTGCCCATCGCAATACCACATACTTGAATATAGAAATTATCTCCATACCAGAAATAATTGTTCCGAAGTATCCAATCTATTCCCTCGATAATGAACTCTATTTGTTCTGGATGGAATCTATTGGATTGTTCCAAAAAAGTTCTAGTTGCAGTACAGCCTCGATCATGGGAAATTATAGTATAGAGGGAAGTGACATCAGATGTTACTAGATAAAAATCATCTTCCCATTTAATATCTGTGAGGGTTTGTAAGATACTTATTGTGTCTTTTAGATAACTTGGGCACTGTTGTACAATAGTTTGCAGATTTTTGTCGATGTACTGAGATAATCGACTCGATATTGATCCGATCCCGGATATTATAGGTCTCCCTAGTGGGTTTGTTAAATCTTTATGTATCTTCGGGAGATAATAGAATACAGGTGTTTTGGGGAGTATTATATTAAGGAAGTCATATTCCTTTTTGTTTAATACATTCTTCAATTGGCCTTTCTCTATCAATGTATTGTAGCTTATTTTAATATCACTTATGGGATCTTTATTGAGCATTGTATATGTGTTGGTGTCGCTCAAAATTCTATTGGCTTCCTTAGTATAGTCTAAGTGATCTAAGAGGACAATCCCCCCCCCCTTATCTGCAGGTTTTATAACCAATGTATTATCATTTTGGAACTGTTTAAGAGCTCTTCTTTCGTTTAAATTTAGATTATATTCATATCTATTTATTTCTTTAATTTTATTGATGTCTTGCATCACCATTTTTTCAAAGGTAATCATCTCCTCTGAAATACAGCATTTGGGGTAAAATTTTGATTTGTCTCTTAAATCTGTGTGGCTAAAATCCGATTGTATAGTAGGGTTCGATTTCTCGGGGTATTTACTAAAAAAAATTTTTAAACATAATTTTCTTTTAAATCGGTTTAAATCAATAAATGTATCAAATTTATTGATATTTTTCGAAGGTGCAAATTTCAGACCCTTAGCTAGCAATGAATTCTGGGCTGGTGTTAAAACTCTATCTGTTAAATTAAAAATTCCATTTTTTCTAGTTATTGTTAATGTCTGTTTTTCCTTTCTCTTCTGTATGTAAGTTCCTCCTCTATTTCCCCGTCTTCTGGACTTCTCTGTCTCTTTCCTGGGGATTTCGATAGGACCAACTTTATGAACTTTTGGTGACATGTTACATCTGCTATCACTGACTTCTATGTAAGTTAATAAATCTGCATTGTGCATTTTACTTGGTTGCTATTTTATTGGATTGCACTTTGTCTTTCCTTACTTCGAGATACATAAAGCTCAGGATCTGGAACAGATCCTCATCTGTTATACTGAAGGCTCTTTTATCCTTTTTAATTTGTGAGTGGCTCTTTGGCGTATACGTTTAGCTATCACTTGGTCATATAGTTGTGCCATTTCTTCCCTGGCAGGACAACCCTTATTTTTGTACATTAATATTCATTGAAGATTCTTTTGAGGAGATCTTTGGGGTTTTCTATACCTGAAGGGATGTCCTTTATTAAATTGTTATATTAATCACACTTTTGTCACTAAAGCACTTTATATAATTGTGAGTCACTTTTTGAAATATTTTTGTGACTGCAAGGATAAAGCCTGTATAAATGAATAATAAATACAGGGTGGGCCAAAGCTCAGAGCAGGGTTTGAGGACTTAATATATATATATTTTAATAAACCAAGTTCAAAGATATTACATACAATGAATGTTTAGCGTATGGAGATTTGTTTGACTAGTACGGATGATGACATCTTTTAAAGCCTGGCTCTTTAGATTACATTGTTCATAACATTAGTTAATGTTTGAGGCTTTAGCGCTCGAATTTGTGTACGTATATTCTCCATGAGCTGCTCAAGGGTACGCGGTTTGTTCATGTACACTCGCTCTGTCAGGTATACCCACAAGAAGTAATTGGGAGCTGAAAGGTCAGGCGCACGTGGTGGTCAATTCATATGGGAATTTCTTAAAAATTATCCTCTCGCTGTTCAATTGTCTCAGGAGGACCATCGTTAGTCCTTCATGAAATTATCCATGATGAATCTCCCAAGACTCAGTTATAATATGCACCTGGAACAAAAAAAAAAAATGAACTACTAACAAATAAGTTAGTTACCTGTCAAACCCCATCTGAATTTAGCCCCACCTTGTATATCTTGGTTCTGACAGACAGTAATAAGACATTGCTATTTTGTTAAGGTACACACAGAGCTGAAACCAATATTACAAAAATAGGTTAAAAAAAAAATAGCCGTGTATTACTGGTCCTCAGAATGGCCAGACCAAATGTGGAGTCTATAGAAGACGAAATGGCAAAAGGGTAGTCAGAAAACTAACCTACGTCAAAACCAATATAGAGGTATACGAAAACGATATGCCAGGTTACGTCAAGGATAATTAAAATCAGAAATGTAAGGATAAGCCAACACAAAAATGTCTTCCCTCTCCATGTGCATCAGCAAGCCTGATGCTGGTTCACCGGTTTCCCTTCCTTGCACCACTTTTAATAGGTTCTATCCACTGAATACCAGGAACACGCCACAAGACTTGCAGTTTGGGAGATGCTCTGACCCAGTCGTCTAACCACTACTATTTGGCCCTTGTCAACTTCACTCAGATCTTTTTGCTTGCCCACTTTTACTTATTCCAACATATGGAATTCAAGGACTGATTGTTCATTTGCTGCCTAATGTGGCAAAGATGCCTCTGCCACGTGTTCTTGGAGGAGCCTGCTGGCTAGCCTCCTTCCCAAAGACTGTGGGCCATGTAAAAAGACATGTTAAAAGTTAACTTCCATGGAAAATCTGAACCATTGAACCGATCTGAGTGATTTTTGGATATGATGGTCACTCAGATCAGGGCTATCCGGGGATGTGACTCATTATTGGTTTTTTTTTTATTAATACGAGTTTGTAACGTTCCTGACTCAATTATCTCTCAGACACAGAGGAGGAGTATGTTGAATTGTATTGCTTGTATGTGCCTCCTCCCTCCCCCTTTTTCCTGTCCTATTGTTTCCCCTGCAGGGTGTTGTCCCAGGGACACTGCCAGACCAGTTTAAACTAGCTGCTTTGTCCATCCTCAATCTCCCATCAGCCCTTGCTATTGTGAGACCCCACCCCTCCTTGTACTATATTATGCTATGTACCCTATTATATGTAAATTAGGCTGTTGGGGGTTAAAATGTGTGTATAAATTGTGAATGTTTGCCTGCATTAAACAGTCTACTCCCAGCACTAAGCCTCGGCTCATGTGTGGGGGAACAGCTATACTTGCTATACCTGCTATATTCTCTGGAGGAGAGTTCTACCCACTGGGAGCTGGATCCAGGACTTGGGTCCAGGGTGGGCAGAGACGGCGAGACCACAGCCAAGCTGTGGTGGCTAGGGTCTGGAAGTGCTTATGGTGTCCCAATGCAGTTCTTATGGTACTCAGTGATTACTAGGAAGTGTGAATTGGCGGAGGTTCCCAGTCGGGGTGCCAGGCGGTACGCCACACCTAATATTTCCCACCCCTTGATAGGTGCCATTGTAACAATATACTCATTCACTTCAACTGTCAGTGGTTTTTATGTTGGTACAGCATGCCCTAAATGTATGAGTAAAGGGTATAGCGTGCAATATATGTATAGGCAACATACACCTTTGATCTGTTTACAATTACACTCTATTATTCTTTTTTGGTTTCTTTTGTATTGTGTTAGCATCCAACTGTTTTTTATTTTTTGACCATTTGAGTGTTAAAAATGTCGGTAACATCTCTATGTCTCTATGAGGAGACTTGACTGGATTGTTGGTCATTATTTAAAGATTTTCCCAACATTACATATTTTGTATTTGTTATAAAAGGAATGTGAAGAATGCAATTGACCTCTGGAAAACCACTGGTTTGATTTAAGGTCACGAAATGGATTTATATTTGTGCTTCGTTGTTCAACGGCTGTATACAGCTTTTCATAAGGAGAAATTGTACACTTCCTCTGATTTTCTATATCCCGTCTGAATCCATAGACTTTACCTAGCACTTCACTGACATTTGCAGTAAGAACATACACACACACACATCATGAAAATCCTGTAATTACAATGCAATGACGAGAACCTCTCTTCCCCCACCCAATACAACACTAAAAACAGTAATCACAACAATGCAGCGACAGCATCCTTCAGTGGTGAAGTATATTATTTGCAATGACATTTAGATTTCAAGGTATTTTCCCTCCTTTAAAGTGTAGGTTGGAAGCTGGTGTTAAAAAGAGAATGAAATTGTGTGTGATGTTGTTGAGCTGAGTAAGTGCTCTTGTCTCAATGGAATGCATTCAAGTTAGTATGAGAACTCAAACAGATCAGAAAAGCATCCTTTCTCTGTGACTGACATTATCTCCTCCTGCGTACAAACCAATTTCTAGAAGAACTCTGCAATTTGAAAGTTGAAGCTATAACATACAACCAGGGAATTATTTTCCTTCTGCAAATTGTAGGCTTGTCATTTAAAAGGGTTTAATATTGCTGCAAAGTCCATACTTTGCAGTCTTTTTATTCATTATAACTGCCTCGTTTGACAATCGGTAACAATGTGTTTGTTTGCGTTAAGTAACTGCTATATGAATCTTTTATTAGAACGGGGTTTTATCTAAAGTGTTTGCGTTGGGTCTTGGGTCATTTAAAAATAAAGAAAAAGAAAACGACTTCAATGTCAATGAAAACATGTTTTTAGGCCACGCACGCAGCCTATGCATTCAAAATTAGCTATTAAATAGGCCAATTAGGGGCAGGTACTTACTCAATTTGGTAAAAGTCACAGTATTTAAAGGAACACTACAGGGTGAGGAACACAAACTTGTATTCCGGACCCTATAGTGTTACAACCACCATCTAGCATCCCCTATACCAGTGATGGCGAACCTTTTTGAGCCCGAGTGCCCAAACCGTAATACATGCCAATTTTTTCCCCTCAAAGTGCCAAAACGGCATTTAAACCTGAATACTGAGGTTTAAGTTTAGAAAAAACAACTCATACAGTTGTCCGAACTAATTAACATCTCTGTGTGTGTATTAAGCAGTTTGTGTGTGTGCTCGGCAGTCTGTCTGTATGTGTATTTAGCAGTCTGTCTGTGTACTTAGCAGTCTGTCTGTATTTAGCAGACTGCTGAGTACACAGTCTGCTGAATACACACACAGACTGCTAAATACACACACACACACAGACTGCTGAGTGTACACACACACACAGACTGCTGAGTGTACACACACAGACTGCTGAGTGTACACACACAGACAGGCTGAGTGTACACACACAGACAGACTGCTGAGTGTACACACACAGACAGACTGCTGAGTGTACACACACAGACAGACTGCTGAGTGTACACACACTGCATTGAGGGGTACAGTGTATGTGTTTGTGTGTGGAGTGATGTGTGTGTGGGGGGGTGATGTGGAGGGGTGGGGTGATGTGTGTGGGGTGATGTGTGTGGGGTGGTGTGTTTGTGTGTGGGGTGGTGTGTGTGGGGTGGTGTATGGGGGGGTGATGTGTGTGTGTGTCTTTTTGTGGGGTGATATGTGTATGGCAGGGGTGCTGTGTGTATGTCGTCCCCCCTCTCCCCCCCTCTGTTTTCTTTCCCCCCATCCCTCCCTCATTTTTTTTCTCCCATCCCACACTCAGTTTTCTCCCCCATCTCTCCCTCAGTCTCCTTCTCCCTCCCCCCATCTCTCC